TTTTTTCAGTTTTTTGTTCTGTTTTCTGCATTATTTAGTTTTTGTTGTTTTTTGCTTTATTTTTTAATTCTTTTTGCTTTTAGTTTTAGAAAAATTATAAACTTTCTGTTAGTGCCATTAGTTTTCAAATCTGAAAACTCTTTTTTTGTTTGCTTTGTTGCTTTATTTATTTTATTTTGTTTCTACTTACAACAAAATACTTATTGTTGCTATTTTTATTTTTTTTTCAGTTTTTTGTTCTGTTTTCTGTATTATTTATTTTTTGTTGTTTTTTGCTTTATTTTTTAATTCTTTTTTGCTTTTAGTTTTAGAAAAATTATAAACTTTCTGTTAGTGCCATTAGTTTTCAAATTTGGAAACTCTTTTTTTGTTTTCTTTGTTGCTTTATTTATAAACCGGTGTGAGCGCCCTTCGGTTGGCGAGGTTTTAAAATTCATAGTTTTTAAATGAGCGCCCTTCGGTGAGCACCCTTCGGTTGGCGAGGGGCTATATATAGGCACCACTATTGGTCCCGGTTGGTGGCATGAACCGAAACCAAAAGGTACCCTTTTGGTCCCGGTTCATGCCACCAACCGGGACCAATAGTGGTGGGCCAGGAGCCAGGACCATTGGTCCCGGTTCGTCCCACCAACCGGGACCAAAAGGTCCGGACGAACCGGGACCAATGGCCCACGTGGCCCGGCCGGCCCCCTGGGCTCACGAACCGGAGCAAATAGCTCCATTGGTCCCGGTTCTGGATTGAACCGGGACTAATGGGCTAAACTGGCCTGGACGAAAGCCCTGTTTTCTACTAGTGCGTCGTTGCCGGCTATACCATTTCGTCACGTTCTGTCCCATACCCAAGTTACCATGCCATCCGGATTTTCTTCCCTTTAATCAGTGTGTGCATGGTCAACTAACACCGAAACAAATTAAATGGATCACATCCGATGCAGTACTCAACGGCTAGATAAAAACCGCATGTGTGATGCATCAAGAAAAATACTCTTTCTATCATTTTGTTAAGAAACCACTCTAATAATACAAGGCGAACAACTATTTTATTTCGTTGACGATATATTTTATTTTATTTTATAAAAATATATATTGTGATCTGGTGGGATGTCCCAGGTTGTTCATGGCGAAGGACACAGACTACTACCCACTCAATGTTCGGAGGAACCATGTGCTTCGCCATCGAGAAATGCGGACATTGCCCACTGCGTTGTGGACACAAACCACCTCATTTTGAACAAGCACAACAGTGACATGGACACCGTCAACTATCATGCTGGCCTGCAATTTAATCCCGTACCATGGAGGGGGTGTGGACAGTATTAGGGCAAGTGACGACAAGACTAGTCGCGGCGCCATCTGAGATGATGGGAGGGCTAACCCATGACTCCTTGGATGACTAGAACACCCTTGTAAGAGATTGGCCACCATTTATGACTTTTCCTTTCCCCGTGCCTCCCATGCCTACATGCTTAAATCTGTTTTTCCTTCCCTTGAAGATACCTAAGAGCAAATGTTATGCCGCTCAGTTTCCCGCATAGTTTGTGGCAGAGAGAAATTGGAGATAGATCGATGATGAAGAAATCTTCGAGTTGTATATATGTAGCCGTCAAGTTTTATTACACAGTGGTTGTGGTGCATTTAATCCCCAGTAATAGTTGTGGTTGTGGTTCTCTCTCTCTCGTTGTGTGTGGGTGTGTTGTGTCAAAATAATGGAATAGTAAATTTCTATGTCAAATAGGTGTTCCTCCAATAACCTAGTGTTTGCACCGTAGTCAAGGCTTCATGGCCACTATTATCGACGTGGCATGCGGCTTGCTATGCTAGTGTATCACCAAGTGTCGTTGAACTGTGTTGTTAAACTCTCTAGAACAACTACAGTTATACAAATTATCAGAATGCTATTGTCTTACATTTGTATTGAGACTTTCTATCCCAACCATCCAAACACATTTATTACGATTTGACATTTCCCATCCACTGGTGTGCACCAAGTTATACGCACCCACCCCTTATCCCACTTAGATGGTCAATTTGATGTATAAACTTGCAAAATACATGTTTTTGATCATTAAACTTGCACGGGCGTGCAAATACTGTGCTTTCTAGCATATCCCGTGCATGTGCGGCGTACCAACATGGCAGGGGCCCGCTGTCAGTGGCGGAGGAGGTGGGTAATGCATGCATGTTTTTTCCCAAAAAGCACACTTGCATTTCATTTCTTTACGCAGAAAATCCTGAAATAATATGAAAAAGGCCGGAGCAGTGTGTGGGTGGTATTCGATACCACCGACCTGCTGCAATTGGCGTGCATAGCTCGCCAATGAGCCAATTGACGTTTGACGTTTGATGTTTATTTAATGTGCACAATTAGCTTTATATAACAAGACCGTACGAACTAAAATAACCTTCCAACCCTGTGTCCAAAAAGTCATACACTCCTAATTGACAACCATTTAAGAAAGGAAACCAGCAGTGAGTGACATGTCAGTTTTTATAAAGTCGAAACAACGCGAGTCAGCATAATTTCAATTTTAACGGAGCTGATTTGAACATTAACAAAATAGTCACTGAAATATGCATGACATACTGAAAAGAAATATAGTCTGTGAATAATATGATTGGGACAAATTCAGTAGGACAAGCACAATCGAACAGTATGACTTTTGCCGGGAATAAAACCAACAAAAAACCAGGAATAATTTTCCAACGATGTGATCAACAGGAATTCAACAAAAACACAGTCAGCTATGACTGAAGTTTGCGCTCAATGTGACAAGGATAAATTCGACATGACAACCGCAACTGAACATCATGACTTACACACTACACTTAAACTACATAACAGATCAGAAACACACTTAATCAGGATAAATTGACCGATAACAATCACAATTCATCACAACTGACTTGCACCCTTCATGCTTAAACTGCTCTATATAAACAAAATAATTAACCTGATAATAGTAGAAGCCAACAACAGCAGACTAAAGATGATAGATTTGTCCATTCTGAAATGCACCACTATTGAGCGGCACACCAGAGGTCACTCAGTCCTCGCTAGAGACAACAATCTGCCACGATCTGAAGAAAAGAAACACCAAGCACAAAAATCATATCCAACTGTCCAGTCTCAGAATATATAATTAAATTTGTTATTCTACTTATAACTAGTTCCAAAACTTACAAGAGTGCATTTCACATGTGTGCTTCAGCTATGCCAGAAAGCAACTTAATAAACTGGTAATAAAATATCAACAAGGTTGACATAATATTTAGCAATCTTAGTTTTCACCCAGCAGGCACTTCATGCTAAATAAACTATTTGACCAATCAACAACAGTGGCTAAAGGAGACATTTTATTGGCTCTGCTTCCCATGGACCGCTTCATATAATAGCACAAGGTTTTCCGGCAGAAAAATAATCAGAGCTGGCTCCTGAACTCGGAAATGGCCACAGAAACAAGAGGTGAATTTAGTTCTATGACAGCACACCCTGACATGAGTTCCCAAGTTTTTAGTGGAGATGAAAAAACCTGTTAGAATCTATTTACAGATGATGAAAGTTTTGTGGTGAAACTAAGTCATGATTTGGATCCTTGTATCAACAACTATTTGTTCAAAAAGTCTGGTACAGACCTTTTGAAGACGAGGTCAACACTGAAGTCATTTCAAAACGTCATGTAAAGGAAAAAGGCATAGATTACACATAATTTTATTTCAAGTAGCTGAGTCAAGCATTAAGCAAACAGTATCTAAAATATAACTCACAAGTAAACTGCTTAACAGAGAATAAATGATTTGATACTTAATAGTAGCAGAAAGAAACCAGCGGTAGACTTTGATCAGTTAGTCCTTAATTAATAGTGATAAGCCGGATAACAATGTGCCATGGTCTACACTAAGGTAACAGGACAATACCAGATCAACATGTTATGTCTGCATATTTAGCAATGTGCCGGTATAATACCTGGAGTGTAGAATCTCATGTAGGGTAGGACGCTAAAGGAGACTCCAGACTCGTCAACTTTCTTAACCTGCCCAGAATCGAGCTTGATTGTGAACAATCCACCTCCTGAGCTAACGAAGACGACACCCACACCCTCCGCAAAGCCAACCACAAATCGTTTGTCAACGGGATTGGCAACAGGTATAGTTTTCTCCAGCTTGATGACCCTGTATTGTACCCATTCCGCTGCTTCAGCTGTATCCATCTTCCTTGACCATGTATAAAGACTCGATCCCTTAATGCAGGCAAAGCCCAATGAACTGTCCTCCATCGCCATGAGGGAAATGTAGCACACATTTCGCGCCACTGGTGGTGGGTCAATCATGGATAAGCGATCCTCGCCCAAGTCATACATTACGATAGCATTGCCCAGCCGAACTGTGAAGTAGACTGCGTCTCCAACAAGGGTGCCTCGCCTAGGCTGGATATAGGGTATGTACTTGGGGTCATAGCAGTGTGGATCTGCAAGCCCCTCCTTCACATGCCTGGAATAGACTTCACAACTGTTGTGAAGACACACTGGCTCGTTCCACTCACCCGTCTCTGATGAGTAGACGCTCGCAATTATTTTGTACTGGTACCCATGAGTGGCCACGAAGAGCAGGCGAAAGGGGCCGCCATGGCAGTGGAGATGGTCGCACCCGTCGACAGCGCAGAGCACCGCCACAGACTGGATGATCCAATCGATGTCCGCTGTGGGCACGGCATGGCAGTCTCGCGTGACGGGGTCCCAAACATGGTAATATAAACCATCGTCCTGCCTCACGTAGGAGATGACGCGGCCGTGGCGGCAATCGAGGGGAGTCACAAGGCGGTCGTCGGAGCCCGGGTAGGGGAAGTCGGGCATGGACGTGGCCGAGGCGAAGCGAGGGGCGGGCGGACCCAATTGGGAGAGCATGAGCCTGTGGAGGAGGCCGAGGAGGGGAGGGGCGCCGTGGAAGGCGCGGTAGCTGCGGAGGAAGCCGGGGTGGCAGATGATGCGGAGCCACCGTTTGCAGACGAGGGCGGCACGGAAGAGGTGCTCGGGCTCGTCTGGCGGGAGGCGGAGAAGGATCTCGGCGGTGGCGTCGTCGATCAGCTGCACCATGGTGCGGTCGTGGGCGGCGGAGAGAGGGTTTGGGTGGGGATTGGATCGGGGAAGACGAAGGGAGAGCCTCGGAGGAGAGGAGGCTGGGTTGGGTTGGACCAGAACCCCGGCTTGGGCTGATGACTTGGCCCACCGTGCATTGCTTAGCTCACATGCCAACGCTATTTTCTCATATATTTTGTACACGTGTAGACCACATCCTTGTGTACATTTATAGATTTTTTAAGAGTTTTTTAAGTTCAATTTTTATTTTTAGTTGAAAAATAACTACATATAATTACTAAGTCACTAAATCTAAATATCAAACTCACACAACTAGAAAAGTACTAGTTACTATTTCCCCATAAGAAAAAGTAGTTAACGTTATTGTCTCAACAGGGTTTTGTTAAGCTATTTGCTATATGTGATGCACATTGGATCCTCCTTCAAAAGGGGAGTCAGATTTAGTCATCGTCAAGCCAGGGGAAAACTTGGCTTTACAAATCCGCACCTAAAGGCAGGAGGGGTTTTTGCTAGCTTACTGAACCACTTGATAACTAGTGTAGATGGCCCTTGGCCATAGGTCTGCAAAGAACTGACCACCATAACCATGTGGTAGTTGCGCTTGTTACCTTCTCACTCCCGGAAGAATCTTGCTCGAACCTTGTTGAATTGGGCACGCACTCCATCAGTGAGGATGAAAAGACCATTGCATAAGGAATGGCCTGGTGAAAGGCATTGGAGAGTCAAGAGGACTAGAGTGTAACGTTGTTGCGTCCACGCGTAAACAAACAATAATGGATCATATGTGGCACAAAATTCCGTTTCATGTGTATCATCATAGAAGATTAAGTCACGACATACATTGAAAATTATGTTACCTTCTACATCCCTCAAAACCATAATAGTTGCAATAGAGCCGTCACCATGTATGAAAGAGCCATTCGTGTTTAGCTTGGCAAAGCCTTGATTTAGAAGAGAAGCTTGGTTGAGCATGAACTACAGTTTTCTCTATCAGGAACCTCTATCAGGAGGCCGTCCCCATTATCAACTACACTTTTACATTTGACCGGATCATAACTTGGATTCACAGCAATATTTAGGATAGAAAGAAAAATAACTGCACAGGAACCTCTCTGAGACGTCTCAAGAAGGAGTTAGTTTGGAATGTACCACTTCATTTCGGACGTACCATATCCGTGAAAGCATCATGAATAGTTTGAGCCGCTGGTTTTCATACATCTTACATGCAATATGGAAGATCCATTCCATGCCACGCCAATGTTCCTTATCTGCGAGATCACAGGAATCAGCCAGATCTCTGACATTGTCCTCCATAAAGAAGCAGCTAATGCGCATATATACAAGGCATGAAAAGTATATTCTGGCTCGCCATCACATAACAGGCACATACTAGTTTGTTCCAAGTGTCTGGAGTATATCGACGACCATGCTGGGAGCAAATTTGTTGAAGACTCCAAATAAACAGTCTTACCTTGGGCGGTGTACATCCTCCCTGAATAAATCTACTATATCAAAATAGAAGCACCCTACTACCTAATTTTCCCGAGTTGTGGTGCAGCCACGTCATCAGTTGACGTCAATATCTTTCTTACAAGAAAATTTCGCCTGTAGGCTATGCAGAGGATTACTGCCGCATCTGTTATTATCATATGCAACCCCGCAGATGGCATTTATGATTCCTCAACGAAATGCCTCATGTCTTCCCAACAAAGTATATTCCACTTCCTCTTCATCTTCTCTAGTCTCCATCTAATCTGACTATTGTTTTGCTGCAGAAATAGATGGATTTCCTTCTCCCTCCATCAAATCCCATTACTCTGGTGATGCAGTTGCTCTTCCCAATTGTTATTTCTATCGGCTCAAATAATTTGGCAGGGTGAGCGGTGGTGAGAGGTGTTCCTCCCCGGCAGGGGCGGATCTACACTTAAAATTACCCGGTGTCCACATAGAAGAACACATGCTTATATATCAAATAATTGAATGGCCTACACACTAAACCAATAAGTAAGTGCAAATTGCACCCGGTGTCAGTGACACCGGCTAGATGTGCGTAGCGCCACCCCTGCTCCCCGGTGATGAGGTCCCCTGGTGGCCGTCCCTTCCCTGCCTCTGGCATCCCCTGCATTGGCACCCTGCCCTGGAAGCAGGGCGCCTTGGAAAGAATGCGTTTGCGTCGAGATAGGCCCCGACCACTCTCGGCGATTACCTTGTGGTCTCATGTCGGGTGCCTCGGCAGAAGGCCGGGAAGACTCTCTGCAGAGGCGGCGAACCCCGTCGACACATCTCGCATGTCCTCCGCTCACCTTCCCCACCACACAGTAGGTGACAGTGGATTGGCTGAGTGCGTCCCTTGGAAACGCTCCCGTCCCATGTGCATAACTTACATTGCTGGACCAATTGTTGGACTTCTATGAATCCAGGTAGACGCCTTCAAGGATGATGAGGTTGTGAGGATGCCAACGAGAGGATTAATATGAGCTCATATGCTACGTGAGTTCTGTCTAGCCCCGGTAGGAATCAACAATCACTATCTTTTGTCGCGAGAAGATCAATAGCCCTAATGCCATTTCTGCCATTGTAGCGGCCCGACCTCAAATGGTCAAGCCTCTATGCATCAATGTCATTCCTGGATCGGTATGCTGACACGCACAGTACTCGAAGAATCTATAATACCTAAATAGTTCATCCCCACTACCCTATTTCTCTAGACATGCAGCTTATCCACCTCATCATTGTGCCACATCAGCGTATTTTTATTCCACGTCATTGCGTTTCTGCCGTAGAGCTTTTCTTTCCGCTGTTGTCCGCACGGTGGAGGAGTAATCCCGGCTCAGTTCTCCCCAATTATTCCCCCACCCATCTCCAAATTAACTCTCCCACCCATTGATGCCCATAACTAGATTGTATTTATCTTCCCCACCGAATAGCAGATGGAGCGACTGCCTCCTTTAAGCTTCCATCTTCATCAGAGTTTTCCCTTTAAGCTTCTGCCTTCACCACATCGACTACCGCTTTTGTCGGAGAGGAAGTCCCGATGGTCCATCCCCTTCGTCTGATGGCAAATCATGAGGAGGAGGCGGGGTGTGGAAGCTTCTACACCCAGACGACTGTCCATGGGAGATGCCCGCCGCCTCCATCGCTCAACCACAGCCCGCAGGGTCGCCATCCTTCTCCCACCTGAGTACCTGACCATGTTCAACAACTGTCCACTCGTCGCCATTGTTCTCGATTTGCGATCACTGATCCATCAAGATCTGCACCACATGGTATGCCTCATCTGCCCTATACCTCAGGATCTGCCGCCAACTGTACCTGATACGTGCTTGTGTACACTGATCCCAGCCCTTGGAGCCAGAAGTAATGGCCAAATTTATGCTCCCACAACTCCCCACGAGCAATGACAACCTAAGTGGCTATCGTTCATGTACTGATGTTTGAGTATTGTATTCTCAAATCTTTGTGTGCGTGCATACCCTTCCTTGCAGGTTGATTCTCCCAATTGATTACTTGATGTTTTATCAAAAGTTCTGAGTGGAAGTTTTGCTTTATTGGAGATTGTAAACTCATTTGCAGATTCGCTACTGATCTCATTGCTCAAGCAGGTTGCGCCAGTTAAGAGTTACTGAATCCCTTTGAGATTGGAAATGCTACCATCCACTTGAGGCAACTCTTGCTCCGCCATTCTGTAAGTAGGATTGCGTCGCACAGATTGTAGTATTGTGCATCGCTAAAGAAGACCTCTGAAGAAATTACCTTCCAAAAATGCGCAACTTTTTTATGGTATCACACCCATAATCTTCTTTGTGGTTCAATACATCTTCTATTTGTAATTACTGGTATGTGCTTAATGTATTTCTGAATAATCAAAATATCTTGATGTTTGCAGGTTACTTTTGTTAGAATTTTGCAACTGTCTTCCAGTCATTTTCATGTGTTAATGTCGTGAGTTACCCAGGATATATGCACACCTGAGAATAACAAGTATAGGTCTGAACAGTTGAAGGAAGGTGAAAAAAAATAGTTGAGGAATATCAACATATCTTTTCTGTCCATTCTCATTAGTCTTGCGTGAACCTAAAAATTGTATTGTGAAACAGGATATAGATTGTTTGAAACATGCCAAAACTCCAATGGAGAAGCATCAGTAGTGATCACTCCTTATTTTTCTTTCTAATCTCTATCTTCGGTATTTTTCGTATGATTTTTTATTTGTTAGATATGACGAAAAATTTGGTGGATGTGCTCTCAAATGCCCATTCCCTATATGTTGAAGTAAGAACATGTCCTTTAATTATCCTTACAGATTGTTATTCTTTGATTGCTATTGAATTTCTTCAGTTCGACTTTGCGGAATTTGTAAGATTCATTCTACTATCTCTCTTCTTTATCATAGTTATTCGACTTAGGATACATGCCATTGTTTTGGAACAGGTTATCATGACTTCCCAAACCATGAATATTGCGATATTAATTAGAATAAAATGGATGGAATGAAATGCTCATGGAATACCATGTTTAATTATGGAAACAAAGTTCATCATTGCTCTACATTTAAAAACCTTATTCCTTGACTGGTCTTGCCTTACTAAGTCAAGTAGTATCACTATTTTATATTTATTTCATCGGGATTTTTCTCGCTAATTTGAATTAATATTGCCTCACTAAATGTAGTAGAGGTTGAATTATTTTGAAAAAATTATGGCACTACATGAATGGGCATATTTCTGCTTTCACAATCATCGACTCTTCTTAAACATTTATTATTATTATTTTCATTTTTGAAGTGCCACCACCTGGTGACTGATTGTTTGTTGTCCTCACGAGATGAAAGATAAAAAGTGAGCTATGATGCAGGCAACTAAGAAGAGTCATTACCTCCCAATTAAATTTCCAATGGCTATTTCATTTATGATATGTAAATATATACATGTATTTGGTCTTTGAGCGTAGATGTTTTGGATGCAAAGATGGATGTTTTTTAGCTTATAAAGGGTCAC